TGAGAGCCAGCCTCCTTGGGACCACAGCCATCTCCGCGCAGCCTTTGCTCTCAGGGATGCCTATGGCCGGGCACCAAAGCCCTTTGCTGCTCATTGCCCTGTGCTCAGCACATGCCGGGGTAGCTTGTGTGGGGCCAGATCCTCATCCAGGGTGATGGGTGCAGAGTCATTAGGGTCAGGACCTCGGTGCTGCTGCTCCATTGACTTCCCTGAAACAACAGCGATTTGCCTTCAGCCGGACTCTAAGTCCTAACCTGATGCCCTGCCGGAATGCTTCCGGCCAGCCTTAACCTTGGTTCAGGGTCCACTTAATGTGGACATGCTAGTTCAAATTAGCAAAACACTAATTCGAACTAGTTTTTTAGTCTGGCTCCATTAGTTCGAATTAGCTTAGTTCGAATTAACTAATTCGAATTCAGTTAGTTCGAATTAGTGCTGTAGTGTAGACATATACCCATAGAGACTTACTAGTCTCCTCCGCTTTCAATTCACCATTTCTCGGTCTGATTCTCCTACTATGTTAACATCAGAGGTGACATTATCTCAAGAAAGATTTTCATCTGAATCTGAAGATGACCCTGATGTGCAGTTTTCTCCAGAAAACTCTCCCCACACAGATCTGCACCTCGGGCCGGCTCTGTGTCAGGTGCCCTCCTGGGCCTGGTGAGAGCCAGCACCCCTGGGACCACGGCCGTCACCGCGCAGCCTTTGCTCTCAGGGATGCCCTTGGCCAGGCACTAAAGCTCTTTGCTGCTCATTGCGTTGTGCTTGACACACGCCGGGGAGGCTCGGGCGGGGCCGGACGCTCACCAAGGGTGAAGGGCGCAGAGTCACTAGGCTAAGCTCCTGGTGCTGCTGCTCCATCACCTCCCCTAAAACAACAGCGATTTGCCATCCACTGGGCTGGCACCAGGGCTTTGCCCTGCCCTGACACACTGGTCTGGTCTGGCACAGGGCTGGGGATGGGGTATAAGGAATGAACTAAAGCTTGTGACGGACATAGGAAATCCGGGCAACAGGGTGCACCAGGCACACCAATGGGGCTGAGAGGATGCAGACCGAAGCTGGAGAAGTGCTGAGGGACAGCTCAGAAGCCCCCGCTCCCATTGGCACCCTACCTCTGAGCACGTGGCCCTGCAGTTATGGGCAAGGAGATGTGGGGAGAGAAAATTGTCTCCATGTTTCCATGTCCCTATCTCCATCTTGCACAGAGGCCTGGCGAGTCCTTTGCCCCCTTTACTTCTACGTCTGGCACAATGGGCCTCTGATACCGGTTTGTCCCTGTAAGTGCCACTGTGATTAATAATCGATTCTCTGTTCTTCTGTTTAGATATAGATGAATGTTCTCCGGTCCCTTCAGTCTGCGACCTTCACAGCTCCTGTGTCAACACCGTGGGGAGTTACAGCTGCCAGTGCCAACCAGGCTATTCTTCCCCTGGGGGGAACTCCTGGAAACCTGATGACAGCCACAGCTTGAACTGCACAGGTACCAGTCGCGACACACTGCCCTCCCTGGCAAAACCATGGAATAGACATCAGGCCCTGACAGTCTCAAAGGCTGGGATGCGGGTGGTGCTCTAACTGCTCCGTGCTTGAGAAGCTTCCCACAAACGGACGTGAGCGTAGCTAGGCCCTGGCAGGTTTGTGATCATTAGATAATAGAAGTGTCTGTACCAGCAGAGCCTTTGCTTCTTCATTGAGAGATGTCCGTGTGGTTGCTCCACGTTAGGTCAGTGCGCTGCTGCTGAGCCATTGATCAGAGATTTTAGAGCAGTGTCCCTGCGGCTGCACACGTGCATGTCTGCAATCACATGCTCCTAAGTGGCTTTTAGATATTGATGAATGTTCTCAAAACTCATCGATCTGTGGCCTTCACAGCTCCTGTGTCAACACCCTGGGGAATTACAGCTGCCAGTGCAATACAGGCTATTCTTCCCCCGGAGGGAACTCCTGGAAACCTGGAGAGAACCACAGCTTGAACTGCACAGGTACCAGTCGCGACAAGCTACCCTCCCTGGCAAAGCCATGGAATAGACATCAGGCCCTGACAGTCTCAAAGGCTAGCATGTGGGTGGTGCTCACTGTGCTCCATGCTTGAGAAGCTGCCCACAAATGGATCTGTCCGTAGCTGGGCCCTGGCATGTTTGTGATCATTAGACAGTATAAGTGTCTGTGCCAGCAAAGCTTTTGCTTCTTCTTTGAGAGATGTCCCCATGGTTGCTCCACATTAGGTCAGCGCGCCGCCGCTGAGCCATTGATCGGACATTTTAGAGCAGTGTCCCTGCGGCCGCGCATGCGCATATCTGCAATCATGTGCTCCTAGGTGGCAGTCATTATGTATGCATGAGCCTCCACTCGTAAATTCATTCTCTACTGCCTTCAGCTGGAGATGGATCTCAGCAGTGATCCCTACCTCATTCACATTTTCAGATAATGATCCCTCTTTTGAACCAAGCTTTTTCTCACTAGTTGGTCAGTAGTTGGTAGTTTAGTTTTTTTAAAAATAACTAGAATAGAATAGAATAGAATAGAATAGAATAGAATAGAATAGAATAGAATAGAATAGAATAGAATAGAATAGAATAGAATAGAATAGAATAGAATAGAATAGAATAGAATAGAATAGAATAGAATAGAATAGAATAGAATAGAATAGAATAGAATAGAATAGAATAGAATAGAATAGAATAGAATAGAATAGAATAGAATAGAATAGAATAGAATAGAATAGAATAGAATAGAATAGAATAGAATAGAATAGAATAGAATAGAATAGAATAGAATAGAATAGAATAGAATAGAATAGAATAGAATAGAATAGAATAGAATAGAATAGAATAGAATAGAATAGAATAGAATAGAATAGAATAGAATAGAATAGAATAGAATAGAATAGAATAGAATAGAATAGAATAGAATAGAATAGAATAGAATAGAATAGAATAGAATAGAATAGAATAGAATAGAATAGAATAGAATAGAATAGAATAGAATAGAATAGAATAGAATAGAATAGAATAGGTTTTTTTTCTTTCTCCCCCAGTTTATTCCCTTCCTGTAGTTACATAGTTGCTCTGCGCTATGCCTGGCTCACTGGGTATTAAGCTCTGTTCCGCATGCAAAGTGTCTCTTCCCCATCTCGGATGGACATGCACAATGTGTCCGCTGACTCGGAGAGGCTCATGTTTCTCAAAAATGTCTGCATTGTGCAAAACTGAAATTGTGGTCGTGACAGGACAGAGACCTGCCTCTCAAGTGAATTCTACTTGAAAGTTCACTCAGGTCAACGGCCTGAGGAACTGAAACAAAGCAGAGGCAAAAAGCCCACCAAAAAGTGAGCCTCATCCGTGTCTCAGGAGATGCCGGTGTCTTCCTCTGGGCCGGTACCAAGAATGGCAGCGCTGCTCTGCCTAAGCACCTATGACACTCCAGGAGTCTCCAGAGCCTCTAGCACAGCTGGCAAGGGGGGACGCTCAAAGCCCCACTCCAAGGCATCAGGCTTTAAGTTGCCTGCCTCATCAGCTGCGATAACATCTGGCACTGAAACTACCTTGCTGATGCAGCATGAGAGCCCAGCACCTCCCATAACTCCGTCCACTGATGCCTCTGCCTCAGAGGTGCCTCGCACATCTCTAGGCCCCTCAGCACTGAGGCACAATCCAACTCCTCTGATAGCACCAGTGCTTCGTGCTATGGTACTGTCAATGCCAGATGAGCAATATGCGCAATAGAGACTTACTAGTCTGCACGTGCAATTCACCATTTCTCAGCCATGGCCGATTCTGTGCGCCCTTTGCTCTCAGGGATGCCCATGGCTGGGCACCAAAGCTCTTTTCTGCTCATTGCTCTGTGCTCAACACATGCTGTGGTGGCTCATGCAGGGCCGGATCCTCACCCAAGGTGAAGGGTGCAGAGTCACTGGGGCCAGGCCCC